CGCATGTTGGGTGAGGTGTGGAACGCAATCAACGCATGTTGGGTGAGGTGTGGAACGCAATCAACGCATGTTGGGTGAGGTGTGGAACGCAATCAACGCATGTTGGTTGAGGTGTGGAACGCAATCAACGCATGTTGGGTGAGGTGTGGAACGCAATCAACGCATGTTGGGTGAGGTGTGGAACGCAATCAACGCATGTTGGGTGAGGTGTGGAACGCAATCAACGCATGTTGGTTGAGGTGTGGAACGCAATCAACGCATGTTGGGTGAGGTGTGGAACGCAATCAACGCATGTTGGGTGAGGTGTGGAACGCAATCAACGCATGTTGGGTGAGGTGTGGAACGCAATCAACGCATGTTGGGTGAGGTGTGGAACGCAATCAACGCATGTTGGGTGAGGTGTGGAACGCAATCAACGCATGTTGGGTGAGGTGTGGAACGCAATCAACGCATGTTGGGTGAGGTGTGGAACGCAATCAACGCATGTTGGGTGAGGGTGTGGAACGCAATCAACGCATGTTGGGTGAGGTGTGGAACGCAATCAACGCATGTTGGGTGAGGTGTGGAACGCAATCAACGCATGTTGGGTGAGGTGTGGAACGCAATCAACGCATGTTGGGTGAGGTGTGGAACGCAATCAACGCATGTTGGGTGAGGTGTGGAACGCAATCAACGCATGTTGGGTGAGGTGTGGAACGCAATCAACGCATGTTGGGTGAGGTGTGGAACGCAATCAACGCATGTTGGGTGAGGTGTGGAACGCAATCAACGCATGTTGGGTGAGGTGTGGAACGCAATCAACGCATGTTGGGTGAGGTGTGGAACGCAATCAACAGAACAACATGCGTTCTACACCACCGCCTCACGCCTGAATCTGGCCTGACAATCCGTCCCCCCTACTCACGCAAGGGCGTCTCAAAGCACATCTCTGTCTCTGAGTCATACCTTGGTATTTCATTCCTCCCACGAGTTGACAAACCCTTCAAGTGTGTAAGGGGCGTCAGACATGTGCTGGCCATACTCGCCCAGCATCCACACCAGCGCCGCCTTGGCCCGAGGGTCAGTCACTCACTTGGTACCAACCAAGCCGCTGTGGTGTCCTAGCATTACCTCGGCATTCGTCTCCTCCTCCCACGAGTTGACAAAACCTTCAAGCGTGTAAGGAGCATCCCCCATGTGCTGGCCGTATTCCCCCAGCATCCACACCAGCGCTGCCTTGGCCCGCGGGTCGGTGACAGAGCGAGAGCTCACCGACCCCACCACGGCGATGCAGTCCTGCGCCCACTGGGGGTACTTGCGCAGGAGATCGCGCACCAACACCTGCAAGGGGGGAACGGTGGAAGGAAGGAATGGCTGGGGTAGATGCAGCAACACAAGATGGCACAGCTGGGCAGAGTCTCTGCAGTGATATAGTCAGTGTCCATCTCCAGGAAGTGCAGCAGGCGGTGCAGAATGGTGGCAGTGAAGTGAACCCTCACTGCCCACTCACACCCACCCACACCACACCCTCATCGCTGGGGCACCCAAACCACATCCCTCCGCCCATACCAGTGTCTCTGCAGTGACATAGTCGGCGTCCATCTCCAGGAACTGCAGCAGCCGGTCCAGAATGCCGCCAGCAGTGTGCCACTTACTGATACCCTGAGGGGTCATCCATACCATATCCCACCGCACTGCCTTCCATAACCCATCCAACACTGCCAACCATACCAGGGTCTCCGCAGTGACATAGTCGGTATCCATCTCCAGGAACTGCAGCAGCCGGTCCACAATGCCGTTCACATCGTAGCTCTGCAGCGCTATCTGCCCCACCGCTCGTATGGCCTCTCGTGCGATTGAGACATCAACGTCTGCCGCATACTCTGTCAACTCCGTCACTGAGTCATGCGGGGTGGGAAGGGTAAGGAAGGGATGGAATGAGCCGGTCCACAATGCCGTTCACATCGTAGCTCTGCAGCGCTATCTGCCCCACCGCCCTGATTGCCTCTCGTGCAATCGACACGTCCACGTCCGCTGCATACTCTGTCAGCTCCGTCACTGGGTAGTGAGGGGTGGGAAGGGTAAGAAAAGGGTGGAGTGAGGCGCCCGCCTCTCCGCAGTGCCGTTCACATCGTAGCCCTGCAGCGCTATCTGCCCCACCGCCCTGATTGCCTCACTTGCAATGGACACATCCACATTCGCCGCGCACTGTGTCAGCTCCGTCACTGGTAGAGGCACAGAGAGGGATGAGGGATGATGGGGGGAAGGGGGCGGATACAGGCAGCGAGCGCGAGATGAAGGCCAGCTTACAACCATTGACATACACTTTCCTCCCCTCACCGGAGGGATGAGAGAGGGAGGGAACCAGAGACCCACTCCACCCCTTCTTCTCCATCCCTCCCTGCCACCTCCCTTCGGGCCCCCCATGACTCACCAATGTCATATGTGTTGCTGTCGTTGGCAATAGCCGTGAGCATCTGCAGCTTGAATCGCTTCACATAGGGCGGGTCGTGGACCTTGCAGTACAAATGCTTGTAGTCGCCCGCGAACACAGACGGGCAGCGCGAGACCACATGCGTCTCACACTCTCAGTGAATTCTCTTCCCCTCCCCCTTCCCCACAAACCATTCCCCACGTTCCACCTACTCCCTCACTCCCTTCCTCCCTCCCCTCCCTCCTCCCTCCCTCCACCCTGCACTCACCAATATCATATGTGTTGCTGTCGTTGGCGATGGCAGTGAGCATCTGCAGCTTGAGTCGCTTCACATAGGGCGGGTCGCGGACCTTGCAGTACAGATGCTTGTAGTCCCCCGCGAACACAGACGGGCAGCGCGAGACGGCATGCGTCTTGCGATCTCAGAAACACTCCCTTTCCCTCCCCATCCTGCACAAACCACCATCTTCCTCCCCCCATTTACATCTCCCCCTCGCCCCCCCTCGCCCGCCCTTGCCCTCACCAATATCATAGGTATTGCTGTCGTTAGCTATAGCCGTGAGCATCTGCAGCTTGAGTCGCTTCACGTAGGGCGGGTCGCGGACCTTGCAGTACAGATGCTTGTAGTCCCCCGCGAACACAGACGGGCAGCGCGAGACGAGCAGGGAGAGGTGGCACAGGACCGCGTAGGATTGCTCTGTGCTGCACGTGCCCACTAGCGTGAGCAGCGGGGTTTTTATACGCTCGTACACCTGAAAACGGGGCGGTTTATATGGGGGACGGAGGCAGAGAAAGGAAGAGATTGTAAGGACAGATGGGCAGCGAAAGAGGAACAGGGAGAGGTGGCACAGGACAGCGTACGACTGCTCCGTGCTGCATGTGCCCACTAGCGACTTTTGAGGCGCCTCAAAAGGAGTTTTGATGCGTCTCAAAAAGAGTTTTGATGCGCCTCAAAAGGAGTTTTGATGCGCCTCAAAAGGAGTTTTGATGCGCCTCAAAAGGAGTTTTGATGCGCCTCAAAAGGAGTTTTGATGCGCCTCAAAAGGAGTTTTGATGCGCCTCAAAAGGAGTTTTGATGCGCCTCAAAAGGAGAGGTGGCACAGGACAGCGTACGACTGCTCCGTGCTGCACGTGCCCACTAGCGTGAGCAGAGGGCTCTTAATGCGCTTGTATACCTGAAAATGGGGTGGTTAATATCGGGGAGACGAAGTGAAACGAGGTGAAGGTAGTCACGCGTGAAGAACGAGGGATTGCAGGAGACAAGCGGGGACAGAGAGAGAGAGTGCGTTGCGTTCACACACACACTGACAGGTGGTGCACGAAGAGTGTGAGGTGTAGGACGAGTGGCGGGCGTGAGGTGCAGGAGGTCTCCTGCACACGCAGCACACACATTCAGCACACACACACAGCCACACGCACAGAACAAGCCGCACCCTCCCTCCCACACACCCACCACTCAGCCAGCCAGCCACCCACCAGCCCCCCCACCCCATCAACCCTTCCACCCACCCACCTGGTGGTGCACGTCAGGCATGGAGAGAGTGAGATGGAGGAAGAGCTTGGCAGTGGCGAGCACAACGGCGCTGTTGGCGTGCTGCAGGCGATCCTCTAGCAGGTTCATGAGGTCAAACGCCTCGTCTGGGTGGGCGGGCGTGTAGCGCGATGCCAAGTCCAGTACCGTACACTGCGCCCACTCACTCATCTCCTTCATACTGGGTTGGATGGAAACAGGGTGAGCGGTGAACAGGTTTGTTGGGGAGTGGAGAGGGTTGAGTGGGGTTGAGAGGGTTGTTAAGCAGTGGAGGGGGGTGCAAGCGTGCAGCCTGCAGAAGATCCTCCAGCAGGTTCATGAGGTCAAAGGCCTCGTCTGGGTGGGCGGGGGTGTAGCGCGATGCCAGGCCCAGCACTGTGCACTGCGCCCACTCACTCATCTCCTTCATCCTGGCACGGATGGGAGTGGGAATGGGACAGGGTTGCAGCCAGGTGGCAAGGGTTGTTAAGGGGTTGGAGAGAGTTTTTAAGGAGTGGGGGTGGCAGGCATGATTTGCAGCCTTCAGGCGGTCCTCAAGCAGATTCACAAGGCCAAAGGCTTTGTCCGCGTGGGCAGGTGTGTAGCGCGATGCCAGGTCCCTCACGGCCTTGCAAAACGCACCGGTTGGGCGAGGGAGAAGGCGATGGATCGGCTGTGCAGCATGTCACGGTCCCTAACAGCCTCAGGATTATACATTGTTACAACCTTTTGAGGCGCCTTGGAAATCGTACCGGTTGAGGAGGGCGAAAACGACGGATCGGCTGTGCAGCATGTCGCGGTCCCTCACAGCCTCGGGATCTCCATCCTCTGCCAGCGACTCCCCTGCCAGTATCTCCTGTAGCGCGCTCACACAGTTGGCCACCACCTGGGGGAAGAAGGGGAGGCGTGGGACGAGGAAGGGAGACAGAGGGGAAACATGATCACTTCCCATGCCAGTATCTCCTGTAACGCGCTCACACAGTTGGCCACCACCTGGGGGAAAGAGGGGGAGGCGTGGGCGTGTTTTGAGTCGACTCAAAGCACACCTGTGCAGCATGTCGCGGTCCCTCACAGCCTCGGGATCTCCATCCTCTGCCAGCGACTCCCCTGCCAGTATCTCCTGTAGCGTGCTCACACAGTTAGCCACCACCTGGGAGGGAAGGAGGAAGAAGAGGATAACCAACCATTCCCCTGCCACCACCTCCGCGGGAGAAGAGGGGACGGTAAACGACGAGGAAGGTGAAGGAAAGGAAGGAAGTGCAAAGGGCAGAGGAGTGACTGGGAGACGATGCTGTGTGCTGCCAGTACCTCATGCACCGTCCTCAAACCACCTGGGAAAACAGAGGGGAGGGAAACGGGGGGGAGGGGAAGAACAGGGGGGAGGAGTAGATGAAGGGGAAGAGGAGAGGAGAGGCAACTGGCAGACCCCCTGCAGTGCGCTGACGAAAATGGTTACCACGCAGTTGGCCTTGGCTCTAAGAGGTGGCCACTGGCCACACGTCTTGAGGAGGGCACCTTCCTTCCTATACAACTTGCTGACCACCCGGGTTGGCAGCTCACCTGAGCATCCGGGTCGTCTGTGAGCTTCCTCTTGAGCATGCCGATGTATCCATGCTCGCGGCACACAGCCGGCGCCAGGTGGTAGAGCTTCAGCACGCCCATCACCGCCACTGCCCGCACGTACGCACTCACGTCTCCCAGCCCTCGCTCCAGGGGGCCCACGAGGTACTCCACCAGCCCGCGCACTCTGAGGGCGCACAGGTTGCGCAGGGCTAGGCCCCGGATCATTGGGTCGTCGTCCTGTGTGGCAGTGGGAGGGGGGAAAACGGGGTGGGGGAAGGGAAGGAAGAGAGAGGTGGAAACAGGAGATTCTCTCCAAGCCAAGGCCTGGCAGGCAGACACGCTGCTGCTGCTCCATCTGGCGGTCCCAGGACCAGACCAGGGCAGGAGATTCACTCCAAGCCAAGGCTTTGCCCAGCCTGCGGACGTCAAAGGCAAGGGCAAGGCTGTTGAAGGCGGATCATCGTGGAACGTCTTCAAGCGAATGAGATGCGAGGGGGAACATGCACTTGGCAGTCACGCACGCTGCAGGAAGTAGGCCAATACTTGACAGTATTCACACCACGCCTCCCCACACCTCCTCACATCTCCCCACACCTGCCTGCACCGCACCTGGCAGTCGCGCTGCAGGAAGTTGATGGTGAGGAGGGCGAGCTCGGGCTTGGTGGGACGCATAGAACTCATTCTTGACAAAATTCACACCTTCCCACACCCACACCCACAACTTCTCACACGTCCCCACGCCTCCCCACACCGCCTCGATCCTGCCCTTACCTGGCAGTCGCGCTGCAGGAAGTTGATGGTGAGGAGGGCGAGCTCGGGCTTGGTGGGACGCATGGCATACTTGACAATATTTATACCTGCCCTGCCCACACCTTCTCACACCTGGGCACACCTGGCCACTCCTGTCCGTACCTGGCAGTCGCGCTGCAGGAAGTTGATGGTGAGGAGGGCGAGCTCGGGCTTGGTGGCGGCGTAGGTGGCGACGTACAGGTAGCACATCTTCTTCACCACCAGGTCCGATGCCGCACTGCACATCACCATCTCACTGCACGGTGCGGTGCGGTGAAACCAGGTGATGAGAGATTATGAGAGGTGTTAAGCGATGAAAAGAGGTTGCCACAGGGAGGAAAAGGGAGTGAGTAGTGAGGCTCAGGTTGGTGGTGACCAGCTTTTGCGAGAGTGTGGACAGGAAGTAAGTCGGTCGGCAGACGAGAGAGCATGAACCTGAAAAGTGAATGATGGGGATTGTAGTGGTCATGACCAGGATCACAGTAGTTATAATGTGAGCCAGAAAAGCTATCATGGCTAAGCTTGCACAAGCGAGCACTGGTTACGAGGTGAGTATGACGCATAACTGAATGCGGACGACGAGTCAGTCCCGATGGTCATGTGCTGTCAACCCGACTCAAAATATGACTTTTGAGTGACTCAACTATGGACTCTAGCCCTGGACTTACAGGGTGGCTATGACGCGTACCTGAAAACAGACGACACGTCAATCCCGATGGTCATGTGCGATATGACCTTCTTGAAGAGCTCTCGCCGCATCTCCGCCGCTCCTGGCGCCCTGATGGGAGGATGGGAAGATGCGAGGGAGAAAGGGAGATCCGGACAAAGTACCTGCCTGAACACTCTCAATTTCCTCTGTAACAATTTCTGTTGCGGTCCTACCCATTCTGACCTAATCTGATCCCTAGGACAAAATAAACAGCAACCGCCCAAAGCTGGGATCAAGCGTCCCTCCGACGGCGATACCGTCCTGATCGTCGCACGCGACTGACCTGCTTCCCGCGAGTTGACCCAGCTGCATCTTCACGTCCGCCATCTCCCCTCGCCTATTATCCGCGTTCATCGTGCTGGTCGCTCTGTCGCTGGATCAGACTAAATGGATAAACCGAGCAGGTATCAGTTTCGCATGTCCGTGCGAAGCAACACACAAGTAATTTGGAGAGCCACAAGTCCACACCATCAGATAGGTTAGCCTTTATTGAGTGTCCTTGTAATTATCTATATCAGTTTGCCGGAGAGCTCAATTTGTAAAACTGAAAAGGCTCCATGTTGCTACATTATCTTTTTTTTTTTTCGCTTCTTCGTTCATCCATGTCCGTTGTGTCATTAATGAGCTATTCTTATTTTTTTCCCCTGAAAATTGTATTAATGGCGTATTCCATGAGCTACTTCACTATATAATGGTCATAGATGTTTTTCATTTTCAAAAGTAAAAAATGGGCATCATGCATCTCTCTTTCTGATCATTACGAGAATCAGTCTGACAATACGCCCAGATAATACACAAGGCAGCATTATATTGAAATGACATTTCATTGATACATCAATTGCAATGAGAATTTCATTCATTGAACAAATATATAAACTTGTGTTACTGAATCTAGGAGGGTGAATTGCGGCCGAGGACAAGGGTGAAGTTTCAGCCATGGCCACCACGGGAACAGGCTGGATTGGTCACTTGAAAGAGCCCTGAAAAAGCAGGCAGTACAGGAAGAAACTCGGAATAGTGGGACACTTTTGCAAAAGTTTCGGGTTTGGCAAAAGTCGGGCCGGAAAGAGAAGTGGAGAAGAACATACATCAATCACACCCCCTTTGCGTTGAAAAAGCTGAACGACAATATATTCGAAGCTAGGCTGTGGCACTCATAGAAACCGCCATGGTGGGGGTCAAGAGCAGTTGGAAGCAGGGACTGAAGAGGTAGGTACCTTAAAAATGGAAGGTACACACGCAGTATACACCAGTATTCATTAACGGGCATACTGCAAGTGCCGTACAGGTGTGCCGTACTGTGTAGGCATCGTCGTTTTGTTCCGATTTGCAAATTTCGTAGCCCAACAAGACAGAAAGGGTCAAGAACGTACACGAATGAATGTGCAATATTTTGCTCACAAATGATTCTCTCAAGATTTTTCCGCGTTAGCAGTTCAACGGAGATTCTCCGCGTCGTTTCTCATTTTGTGATCGTTCCACAACTCAAGAACTTGTGCCACCAGCCAACGTCCTCCTTTCTATCCGACCGACTTCTTTGAGCATCTTGTCCGAGCCAAGTCCGACCGAACAACCTCCCTCCCACCCAAATACGCTGCGCGCTCCCAAATTTGAAAGGCTGCCACATTTTCCCTGAGCTGGCCCTCCTGGCAGGGGGTGGTCCCTCCAGCGGAGCCACATTTCACCCCTGTAGCCTCGGAAAACGGGACCAACGGAACAATCGCCACCAGACCTGCCCAACCCAACGTACAGCACAGCTAGAGTTGCTGCCCCAAACGTACGCACCGACAGAATTGACCTGCCCTTGCACACGGCAAGGATCTGCAAGGATCCCACGGGGCAAGTTCGCTGCTGCCAGCGCACGCATCACCACACTCGCCATCTGCTGCTTCTGCATTGCAAAAGCTGCAGCGCTTCTGCCTCACTGTGCTTACAGACTCCGTCTCATTTGTCCATTCCCTTGCCAGCTCCGTCTCCGCACCAACTGGGCTGAGCAATCAGCTCGAAGACTTCGCCCCTCCCACTCCCACACTCGAGCACCCAGCCCAGTCCACCCCTCAACCGCCATAGGTCCACCTTACCTCCATGACACGAATCGCTCGCTCGCGAAGACCGAGCAGCATTTGTTCGCGTAACCTCTATTTCGTATACATCCACACGCTAACGACTAGTAGGGTTACTCACTACAGTTTTGTAGTCCAGTCCAGTCAGCTACAAGCATGGCACGTCATATTCACACAGTGCGCTCCGTTCCCGACGTCCATAACCTGTTCCTCTCTGCCGGGCTAGACACTCCAGACGATACGCGACGTCTTGACGATCAGCTTCCAAGTCGAAAAGGTCCTCACCATCGCCATCAGAACTCGGACGGGTTCATACTACTAGACACGCAGCGCGCGACGTTCCACTGTTCGCCTTTTAACCATCGCGACAGCTCCGCTCCTCTCTCTCCTGCTGACGAGCACGTAGGCAGTAGGCGCTCAGCAGGCGACAGTGACCATTTCCCGTTACCGCGATCGCCGCCCTTCGTTCACGGCAGGCCTACGGGGCTTCCGCCACGACGGCCGAATAGTTTCCAAACGCTCGCGGCGGCAGACCCGCGGAACCCCGCCGTCGCTCGCGCTTCAGCAGCTGCTTTATCCGCGGCGGCGCCCGCCGGTGCTAGTAACAGCTCCGAGCGCCCCGTGTTTTCATCAATTACTGATTCCTCCTCCGAGGACTACAACACCGACGCGTCGCAGGACATGCTCAGCGACGGGGCAAGGTTTTCGCAATCTGCGGGTTACCCGCCGCGACAGTGCTACCCGGCACCCGGGACGCGCGCAGAATCCACGAGCTACTACTACCAGCAGCCGAGCGGCAATGCCGATGCGACAAGAGAACCGCACGGTCTGAAAGAAGTCACGGAGGCCGTATTACGGTCCCGCGTGCAGGAGGTTCTGTCGGAGCGGCAGGAGCTGGTGCAGCAGCTGTCGTCGTTCCGCGTGACGGCGGCGTACCGGCAGAAGCGCGTGGAGGCGACCTTGAAAGAGGCCGAGGTGCTTAAAACGAAGTTGGCGGGAGGGGAGAAGCGGCTGGAGAGGGTTCGCGCGCAGCTTGACGCCACGCGCATCGCGCGAGACGCGGCGGCGCGGGAGCTCGCGGTCCTTCGGCGAATCGCACCGGCCACGTCGGATGCTTGTAGTAGTGACGAGGAGGATAGCGAGGAGAGCGATGCGGCATCGGATTGGGACAGTGATGTCACTTCGGATAGGGGAGGCGGGGGAGCAAGGTCGCGGGGAAGAGGCGGAATGCGCCAGAAGGCGGCGAAGACGGCGGGGGATGCGGCGTGGCGGAGGGCGGAGCTGCGGAACGTGCTGCAGGAAATGGCGCAAGCGCTGGAGAAGACCGGAAAAAGAGCGCGAAGCGCTCTGGCGAGAACAACGCAGCTAGAAGGTACGCAGTTTGGAAGTGAATTCATGCGACATTTCCGCTGCCTCTCATGTCACTCTCATGTCACTCTCACCTCCGCCCTGTCGCTTCCCCCGCCCTTCCTCCGACCACTCTATGCGCCTGATGCAGCCGTAGTTGCTCCTTCGCTCCGCGTCTTCCCGCTTCCTTTCGTACCACCTGTCCCTCAACGTCCCCCTATTTTCCCCTCTGTTTTTCTCCCCCCTTCCGATCGCCTTCCCCACTCCGGTTCCCCTTCCCCCTTCCGGTTCCCCTTTCCCCTGGCCAGGCTTGCTGGAGGACAGAAAGGAGGAGCTGGCGGAGGTGCGGAAGGAGTTGCGCACGGCGGAGGGGGAGCGGGACATGCTGGCGGAGGAGTTGCAGGAAGCCTTCAACTCGTGGGCGCAGCCGCGCGCGCCCGCAGGCATTGCCACGAGGAAGTCAGGGGTGGCGTCAGCGCCGCTGCCGCTACAGCCGCTACAGCCACAGGAGGCGCTACAGGCGCGACGGGCGCAGCGCGCTACAGAAATACCTGGGCCTGGAACGTGGAGGGATGAGGGCAGGAGTGGTGGGGACTTTATGGGGAAAATGGGGAGCACAGAAACGGGTCGCATTAGCAGAAGCACAAGCAAGGAGGAGTTTGGGACGCGGATGCACGCACGTGGAATGAGCGGGGAGGGGAAAGGCGCACGGGGGATGATGAGCGGAAGGGGGAGCGCAGAGGAGCTGGGTGGGTGGGCCCGCGCGTCGGCGCTGTTGCTGGCGGGTCAATTGGAGCCCCGCGTGCCTGGCTACCTGCGCGCGTCGCTAGAGGTCCCATGAAGCTGTTTGGGAAATCTCACTCAAGCACATCCTCCTGCCATGTGGCCAACAACCATCTGGTCATCCCTGCATCGAGCCTTCAGTCAACAGAGATATTAAATTTGTGCACTTCTGTTGGCACCTGCCATTGAAGGTGCTCTCCAGATTACCCTTGTTCTTGGGTCGCCCCCTGCCCCTGTCTGCATTTGTACATACATAGTGTGGCTGGCAGCGCAGCTCTTGTGAACTACTTTTTGTAGATTGGACTAAAGCAATTTTTACTTTATTTTGAAGCTGCGTGAAGGTTTCATGCTAGCCAGGCATCATGAACTGCACCTTGTACGAGCATTCATGTTCCAATGTAGCTGATAATGTGTCTAGGGTGTGTCTTGAAATAAGGCACAGAGAACAACTTGGAAATCTCTAATCGAAATCTGGTTCAATGGTTTGGTGTATTGAACGTGCTAATGTTCTGCGAGGTTTCCAACAACGAACTCGAGCCGCAGATGTGTGACGCGAATATCACATACAATGATACACTGCCATTACCGCGCCATCTGCTTCCAAGGGTAGGGTAGGGTCTTTTGTGGCGCTAAGTGAAGCCAGCTGGTTAACTTGGATATTGTCGTTGGGGTGATCCAATCCTCTTCGGGAAACAATTAGAGAGCCCTGTCAACAGCGATATCGTCCAACTCAGAGTCATGCCTCAGCCATACGTACGTTGACAAAAAGAAACGAGCAGACACACGTGGATGAAACATGTACACCCTTATTCTCAGCTCTCTCACCAGCGGAAGCACTGGCTACAGTGTTTGGACGTAGCGGGCTGGTGAGATAACTTGGTTGCGGGCAAAGTCGCACGAGGTGACGAGGCAAGCCTTGGGCTGTAAAAAACCTTTAATGCTGAATAACCGTCTCAACCGTTTTGAAAACAACAGTACCATTTTAAAACGTTTGAAAACTTGACCGACCGCACTGGGCGAAATTGTCACTATAACGCATGTGATAAGACCTTCTTTGGTCCGTTGCGGCTACACAAAGCGTCCCGGTCAGTATAACATATGCCAGTCTATCGAGAATGAGGGTGTAATCTGCAAGTGTACTTTCTGCTGGCGAGGCGATGTTGTGTTGAGTTGACGTGACGATGAGCAGTCTGGCAATTTCGCGCTTGGCAGTGGAATGCTCAACAGTATGATTCGCAGGGCACGCTGAAGGGTGCTTGTCCCCGTGTGAATCGCCTCAATTCTCGAACAGCTGGCAGGGCAGCTCCCTCCCGCGCACCTCATTGGTTTGGTTTTGATCGGACACGTCATGCACAGCGTCTACTGTGGAGGGCAAGCGCTTGCTGATGGATCTGCTGGCAGGCAGAACGTTTGCATTCAAATTGCATTCGCGGCGCGAGGCCACCAGAATTCCTCCAATGGATGTAGCGGCAGGGAGGGCAGACCACACCACACACCGTGCCCCTCTTCCCCAACACCATCTTACCAGAAAGCAGAGCTGTACCATAAGAGCATCCATCCAACAGATATCCTCTTGCCTATTGTTTTATCACACGCCACGGGTTCGGTCACGAGAGAATTTCTGTTGTTGAATGCCAATCTTATCCCTTCCAAGATTTTGATGAGAGCGGCAGAGCAGGCTTTTGTGTGCACACCCTTCGTCCTCTCGACGCTCACCGTCTCGAAGAACAACATTTGCAGGTACACACCACATCCTACACGTCTAGAAGTAAAGATCGTCGCACAAGAACTTTAAAAGCCCGACATCCGTCACATACCGCGACCTCTCAAGCAAGACATCGTGAGGATCGTGCAATGTCGTGCGTAACAAATGATAGTTTCCGTAGTACAGTGATGCTTCCTTCAAGGAACGAATGCGATCGACCGTGCTTTGATCAGCTTCCCGTTCGCGGCGACACCCGCGCCCCGTACTCACCCCGCGCTCATCGCTATACGCGCGCGGAGGACGTCGCCGATAATTGCGCAGGAAGACCTCCGCCATCGCCCCGCTCTCCCCCCGATCCCTCGCCCAGGTCACACCTTGGACGCGCCCGCGGCGGGCCCGTCCTTCGCCGTGTGACAGGAGAACCGCGCTCCCCGCCGAGCGACGGAATATCGTCCCCCGCGAATCGCGCAACAACTCGTTGCGGCATCCAGACTGGCAGCAGACCTTTTGACGAGTACGACGCGATTGAGGGATTGGAATGGGAGGTATTTGCGCCGCGGAGCCCTCGAATGAAGCAGAAAGCGCGGGCTAGTTTGGCCGCGACGGTCAGCACGTGCCATACCACTGGCATGATAGTACGTTGGAGCAGCAGCACTAGCAGCAGCGGCAGCAGCCGCAGCAGCAGTGGCAACGAGAGCGGTGGCAGCGGAAGCGGCAGCAGCTACGGGAACAGCCATCCATATCGCAGCAGTTGCTCTTCGGAAGAGCATCGACCGCGGGGTGGTAACCAGTCGCCAAGTGGCGTTTGTAACCCGACGTCAACATCCTGGCCCGGAAGCGGTGCGCGAATAAGACTTTCGCAATCAGCCGCAGACCTTGCCACGTTGAGTACCCTCGCGGAGGACGGCGAGGGTGAGGATGAGGTGAAGCGAAGCTCGTCCTATCGAACCTCGACCCATCGCCCACGTGGGGTGTTTGACAATCTCTCCGACTCCAACGCCGAGTCCAGCCCGCATGGCCGCGCACGAGGAGCGAGTTTCGTAACTGCGGTGGGAAGACCGCGCGAAGTGCGGGACATGCCGCGGGAAGGGGCCCTCAGTAGTCTTGCCGACGATCATCCCGCAAGCGCCCATCATGCCAGCACGCCGCGCGCCTACACGCGGTCTGCGGCCAGCAACTCTGCCCCTGTGTTGCGGGTGGAGGGCGGCGGAACGCAGGAGGCGCGCGCGGCGGCGGGGTGCTTGGACGCGCTGATTTGGTTGAAAAGCTCGCAGATTGACGCGGTGAGGCGGCAACGCGCAAAACTGAGCGCAGAATTGGCGGACGGGGTGAGGCGGGTGCAGAGCATGGAAACGGGGATGGCGGAGCGACGACGCGTTATTGAAAGCCTCGTTGCACGAATATCGGAGAAACTGGACATGGAATGTAAAGACGGGACGCCGGACGGCGGGAAGGGTATACTGCGGGAAGCGGTCGACACGGAAAGCACGCTGGGTGGCGTGGAAAACCTAGATGATGGTGAAGACGAATATTATCTTCTGAAAGATGATGTGGATGGGAGCAGCGCGGAGGAGTTAAGGGAGATGCTGCAGATCAAGATGCGCTCCATCATGGCCGACACGAGACGCGTGGAGCTCGCCGCGATTCACGCGCAGTACCGAAGCGGCGAGATTCGACGTGAGTAGTACATGCCGCGTGTCTGTCCCTGTTGTCAAGCCGTTTCGCCATGTATTTATCGGTGTTTGCGTCTTTTTAGAATGCCTGAAAGCGGGTTTCCCTCCTGAAGCAGGTTTCCGTCACGTGTTTCTATTTTTCTACCTCCATCGCAGGCAAATTGCGGCGTAAATCAGCGGAGCTGGCGAGCATGAGAGAGGCGAGGGGGCAGCTGGTGCGGCGGAAAGACACGCTGGTGGAGCAGAAGTTGCAATTTCCAGCACCCTAGAGATTTGCGTTGTGAGAAATGAATTACGACGGACGGGGAGCATGTGTTTGCATCCTGTAACGGGTATGGATGTGCTGATTCTGTCGCTCCAGAATCCAGAAGTGCTCGAGGTTCATGTTCTTATCCTAAAATTGATGATTTATCGAATTCGAACTGTAGATAATTTTGCAGTTTGCGTACAGCTCGGATTTCCCAAGATGATTGTGCATTTGCCATGCTGCCGCATGGCAGCTCTTGCGCCTTGCTGTCGCCGCACCGCCGCCAACCGCGCAGCCAGAGAGACGGAATGGGAAAATCCAGACACCTAGCGTATGTGAGCATACCGTTTTGGCCCACATATGCTGGTGTCGCCTGGATTGATCACTTCTGCCAGCGCAACCTTACTAGCGACCTTGTAATCCTCGAAGCTTGTATTGAAGTGAGTCACACTATTTTTTAGCGCCATCTCGAGTCGCAATGGCTCCGACCAAAGCGCACATATTCGACGAGGCGCACATATTCGACGAGGCCCACATGCCGCGTGGGCCGGCGAACTACGCGCCGCTAACCCCGCTAACATTCCTCGAGAGGGCGGCGCGGGTCCATCCCGAGTCGCCGTCCGTGATCTACGGCCGGCGGCACTTCACGTGGGCGCAGACCTTCCTCCGCTGCTGCCAGCTCGCGGCGGCGCTGGAGCGCGCGGGCGCGCGCAGATACGAGCGCGTGGCGGTGCTTGCGCCCAACGTCCCCGCGGCGTACGAGGCGCAGTTCGGCGTGCCGCTCGCGGGCGCCGTGCTCGTGTCCGTCAACGCGCGCCTCGACGCCGCCTCCGTCGCGCGCATTCTCGCGCACAGCGATAGCAAGGTGTGCCATGTGGTGCCAAGCGGTTGGAATGCGAGAAAATGCCCTCTCCCTGCTCCCGCTGCTCTCCCTGCTCCCTGTGTGCTCCCTTGTGTGCGTGTGATGAGGTTGTTTTTGAGACGTCTCAAAAACAACCTCATCACACGTGGCTCTCCCTGTGTGCTCCCTTGTGTGCTCCCTTGTGTGCTCCCTTGTGTGCTCCCTTGTGTGCTCCCTTGTGTGCTCCCTTGTGTGCTCCCTTGTGTGCTCCCTTGTGTGCTCCCTTGTGTGCTCCCTTGTGTGCTCCCTTGTGTGCTCCCTTGTGTGCTCCCTTGTGTGCTCCCTTGTGTGCTCCCTTGTGTGCTCCCTTGTGTGCTCCCTTGTGTGCTCCCTTGTGTGCTCGCTTGTGTGCGTGCAACCTGTGACCTCTCTCTCTGTAGGGTATTTTTGAGAATTCTCAAAAATACCCTTCAGCATCATGACCTCTCTCTCTGTTCTCGCGCTCGCCCCTTGTCCTCTCCTTTGCCACTTCCCTCTCTCTCCCTCCCCCATGACACTCATCACACTCTTCCGCTCTCGTATTTCCATTCCCCCCTCCCACGCCCTTCCTTCCCCACCCCCCCCATCCCGCCCCCTCTTCCCTATCGCAGATTCTCCTGGTGGACCAACACTTAGCGTCTCTCGCTCTCTCCGCACTCTCCCTCCTCCCCACCGCCACCTCACCCACCCACACAGCCCGCTTCCGTCCAAAAATCGTGCTTATAGCGGACGACGAGGTGCACACATCTGCTGACATGGCGGATCCGGGCGGCGAGCAGGCCGATACAAAGGGGTTGGGAGCGGTGGGGGAGTATGAGGAGTGGATAGCAGCTGTGCCATGCGTTGGCCCTGTGACTGGCGCTCGGCTTGCCACTGCCCTCGCTGCTGCTGCTACTGCTGCTGGTGATGCTGGTAGTGATGCTGCTGCTGCTGGTGGGAGTGCTATCAGTGCTGCCAGTAGTGCTGATACTGCTTATAGCACCGACGACCCCTTGTCTTCACGCCCGCTATTGCTCCCTCTCGTTTCTGACGTGGCTGATTCCGACTGGTGGGCATCCCACCAACCACAGGACGAGCAGGACCCAATAGCACTCAACTACACCTCAGGCACCACGTCAGCACAGCCCAAGGGCGTGGTCTACTCCCACCGCGGCGCTTACCTAAACGCGCTAAGCGCCGCGCTTATGGTGCAGCTGCGCACGCACGCGGTTTTCCTGCTCTCCGTCCCGCTTTTCCACTGCAACGCGTGGTGCTTCTGCTGGTCGCTCCCTGCTGTCTCCGGCACGGGCGTGCTTATAAGGAATGTGAGTGCTCGCGCGATTTTTGCAGCGGTGGTGGAGAGAGGGGTGGAGGTGATGGTGGGGGTGCCGGTGGTTCTGAATCTGATGGTGAATGCTGACGAGGAGGATAGGGCGCTGCTGGGAGCGAGGTGGGGAAGGAACGGCGAGGAAAGAGGGGAGGTGGAGCAGACAGCGTGGGGTAACGATGAGCAACAGCATAGGGTAACCAGCATGGTGAAGAACACCAAGAAGGTTACGGTACTGACAGGCGGCGCCCCTCCCCCAGCAGCCATTCTGGCCCAAATGGAACAAATGGGTTTCGATGTTATCCATTCCTATGGATTAACTGAGACCTACGGGCCGGCCATGTTCTGCGACTGGAAACCTCATTGGGACTCCCTTCCCCTGCCCGACCGCGCGAGAATCAAATCTCGGCAGGGCGTGCGGCATATCGGGCTGCAAACTGCTACAGTGGTTGATAATAGGACGCTGCGGCCTGTGCCTATGGACGGTGTGACTATAGGCGAGGTGGTGTTTAGAGGGAACACGGTCATGCGGGGGTATCTACATGGGAGGGAGGAGACAGCTGCTGCGTTTGCAGGTGGGTGGTTTCACTCGGGGGATCTGGCCGTGGTGCATCCAGATGGGTATGTGGAGATTAAAGACCGTTCTAAGGATATAATAATATCTGGTGGGGAGAATATTAGCAGTATTGCGGTGGAGGGGGTGCTGTATCGACATCCTGCAGTGCTGGAAGCAGCAGTGGTGGCAAGACCTGATGATAAGTGGGGAGAGACGCCCTGTGCCTTTGTGGGGCTCAAACCTGGCTACACGGTTACCAATGGAGCTACTGCAGGAGGGGTTGAGCATGTGGGATTGAAGCAGGTGGGACCTGGGCAGGTGGTATCTGAGGAGGATATTATTCTGTTCTGCCGGGAGCACCTGCCCCATTTCATGGCGCCCAAAAGCGTTGTTTTCGGCCCGCTGCCCAAGACTGCGACGGGCAAGATCCAAAAGTTTTTGCTGCGGGAGCGAGCAAAGAAACTGGGTTCGCTGCCTTGGCGGGGGCTCAGGAGCAAGCTGTGAGATTCAGTGAAAATTCAATAATACGGTACCGGTAGTAGTACAACTCAATGTTGGTAACAAATTGATATTACTTGTTAGCCTAATCAGTAGTGGCACATTGTGCCAAGTCCCATCCATTGTAACGCCTGATATGGAATTGTTTGGACGAGTAAATGTCTATTCAGACTCACCCACGGTATCAGAAACACTGAAACGTGGCCAGGTGACTGTTAATGCTGGTGATTATATCGACCGTCCCCCCTCTCCCCGCCACTGCCACAAGCTGTCAAAGGGAACAAGAGAGCAGGCAAAGGGTTGAGTGGGAGCGAGGGAGGAGCGACAATATATGAAGAGACTGACGCATCACACACGGATTGCATCATTTAAGAGATAACATCGGCTGACTCGCCTCCCCCCGCCACTGCCACAAGTTGTTTAAGGGAAGGAGGAGCGAGCAAAGGGTTGAGAGAATGAGGGAGGAGCAGCAGAGATAGGGCAAAACGCACAAGTGGAAGGGACAGTGGGGAAGGGACAGTGGGGAAGGGACAGTGGGGAAGGGACAGTGGGGAAGGGACAGTGGGGAAGGGACAGTGGGGAAGGGACAGTGGGGAAGGGACAGTGGGGAAGGGACAGTGGGGAAGGGACAGTGGGGAAGGGACAGTGGGGAAGGGACAGTGGGGAAGGGACAGTGGGGAAGGGACAGTGGGGAAGGGACAGTGGGGAAGGGACAGTGGGGAAGGGACAGTGGGGAAGGGACAGTGGGGAACATTCGAGCATGTGACATTCCTGGACCTTTTCGTAAAATCGGTGTTACCACCTGGAAGGGTGCTACCAGCGAAGGTGTTACCTGGGACGGCACATGTGAGTGGAGGGAGTAGATTGATGGCGTGGCCGTGGCAGTTTGTGACTTGAGCTGGCCGGCAAAAGTCAACCGAGTCAACACAGCGCTGGCTCCCGCCACAAGAATCTGATGCGATGAAGAGAAAGACGGGAGAGGGGGGGAGCGGGGAAGAGGGAGAGACGTTTCAAGGCGACAAGGAAAAAAGGGGAGATAATGGGGGTGAAGAGTGGCGGAGTGTTGGAGGATGGGTAGGAGAGGCGAGTAAAATAGTTGCTATGAAGGACGAAGTATGCAGTAAGGTGATAGGATAGGAAAGATAGGAAAGAGCCTAGCCCATGTCGGCCCCATGCCTCCCCGATTCCTCACGCTGGCCTTCCCCATGCCTACCCCATGCCTCACCTCATCCATGTCCCTCCCCATAACCACGCATGCACAGGCGCGCCTAGGGACACGCCCCCATGTCCCACTCATGATTGGGCACATGGCAGCCCTTGTCACATCCCCCATGCCCCGCCCCATGGCCCACACATGCCCCCCCCATCCACGACCCTCATCCACGACCCTCCACGTGGCCACGGCATGCACTGGCGTGCTCAAAAACACATGCAGCATCATCAGATGATTAATGCTTTAAAACTGATTGTACGGGTTGGTGTACTTCCGGCCCTTGTCATGGTTTTCCTTGAAGGTTCTGGCGTGCCATCCAAATCCTTTGTTCAAGCGACAATCCGATCAATAAGCAGAGTTGTGCAACAACAATCCCAGCACTAGTCCGATCCCTTTCAATGGTTCGGAGTATGGCTAGTTTGTATGGTGCAACGGTACCAACTAACCATTAAACAAAGTCAGACTAGAGCTGGGATTGCTGCTGCACAACTTAGCGCATTGATCGGATTGTCTCTTACAAAAAGAATTTGGATACATATTGTGGCCGTCTCTTTCCACAAATCAGAACCCTCACGCAGAACTGACGAGAGGTGAAATCGCACCAACCTTAACATTTGACAACCTCCCACCCATCTTCTTTGACACCCTCCCCATGCCTCACCTCATCTGCATCTCTCCCCATGTCCACGGCATGCACCGGTGCACCCAGAGACACGTGCAGCAGTGCAGAGGCAGGCGCCTGCAGGGAAAAGAGAGACGCCGTGCCGCCGCCCGTTCCACACAGCTGTGGTCGGAAGAGAAGAGAGCAGGAGGGAAGCGAGCGGTAGGGGCGGTAGAGGAGGGATAGGAGGGAAGGGAGGGGAAGGAGGGAAGTGGAAGGATGAGACGATGAGGTTAGATGCATAAGGGAGATGGAGTGATAAGTGTGATTCGAATAAAAAAGGCAATACGGCACGGGATGAAAGAAATGAGAGAGACAATGGGGAGAACTCACCACCAACCATGGAGAAGCGGAATCAACTGTCACACTGCTAACCCAAGGCGAGGAGGAAGAGAACATGGAGAAAGAAGAAGGGAAGGAGAGGAGTGAGAGAGAGGGCTCACCAACCATGGCGCCGAAGAATCAACAGCCACACTGCTGACCCACGGCGAGGCGGAAGAATAGGAGGATGAAAGAGAGAGGGGTTCTTGGCGCGCAGTAAAGGGGTTGAGACACAGCACTGCGGTGGCTGTGCGGCAATCTGGTGAGAGGGGTGGAAGGAGATGAGAGGAGGGAGGAGGGGAGAGGTTGTGAGAATGGTGAGGATGAGTGGGGATGATTGGGGGATGAGAAGACAAGGGGATGAGGGGCAATCCGGAAGTAAGGGTTACGTATTAAGTTGGCTGCTAAGTTGACTATAAAAGGACTGATTGAAGAAGAAGAATAGAAAAATGGGGTCCGGGAGGCTTTTGAGTCGACTCAAACGGGTCCGGGCGGTCAGCAGGTAGGATGGTCTGGGAAAAGGAGTGGCGGGGAATGTTGTTTCATAAACTTGCCAAGAACATCATTTTCATCCCCACCATCCCATGCAAATGCCCGTGCCCATGCCCATGCCCATGCCTGTTCCCCATACCCATGCCCGATTCAAACTCATGATCATGCCTATGTGCATGTGCCTGCCAACCCATCCACCCACATCACAGCATGCCACCCCAGCAGCCTCACCCAACCCACCCCATACTCGGCACGTGCCATCCTCTGACCCTGTCACTATCTGAGCACACACACAAGGTGGCGGGGAGGGGAGCAGGGTGGGGGGAGGGGGAGAGAGGACGGGAGGACGGGAGGAAGGAGAAGTAGTGAGTAGAGCATCGCAGCAGCCCCACCCACCCCATACTCGGCACATGCCATCCTCTGACCCTGTCACTATCTGAGCCACCATGTGTGGCAACGGGAAGGGGGAAGAGGGGTGAGGGAGGTGAGGGAGAAGGGAGGAGGAAGGGAGTGAGGGGGCGGAGGGTAGGAGAAGGGAAAGAAATTGGGAGAGTGTAAGAGAGGAGGAGGGGAGGAGGCAGAGGTTGTGAGAATATAAGGATGAGAGGAAGCAAAAGGACAGCAGAATTGCCTGGTTCTTTTGCAAAAGGAGGTCACCTGATTACCCTGACCAACTCTGCTACTCACGCTGGTATTACCTGACTCTTGTTGCTTTCACCTGGCGTTGCTTACATTCACCTGGCTCTGTTGTTCTCACCTGGTTGTGCTGCGGCCGTGCCACCACACAATGCAGGTAGTCTGAGTGGCCCCTGAACTCAGCGACCTGCTTCTGAGTCTCCTGATAAAACACACGAGAGGTAGAGCAGGTAAGGGGGAGCAAAGTGTGTGTGGAAATGGAGGAGCAAGGAAGGCGGAGCAAGGAAGGCGGAGCAAGGAAGGCGGAGCAAGGAAGGCGGAGCAAGGAAGGCGGAGCAAGGAAGGCGGAGCAAGGAAGGCGGAGCAAGGAAGGCGGAGCAAGGAAGGCGGAGCAAGGAAGGCGGAGCAAGGAAGGCGGAGCAAGGAAGGCGGAGCAAGGAAGGCGGAGCAAGGAAGGCGGAGCAAGGAAGGCGGAGCAAGGAAGGCGGAGCAAGGAAGGCGGAGCAAGGAAGGCGGAGCAAGGAAGGCGGAGCAAGGAAGGCGGAGCAAGGAAGGCGGAGCAAGGAAGGCGGAGCAAGGAAGGCGGAGCAAGGAAGGCGGAGCAAGGAAGGCGGAGCAAGGAAGGCGGAGCAAGGAAGGCGGAGCAAGGAAGGCGGAGCAAGGAAGGCGGAGCAAGGAAGGCGGAGCAAGGAAGGCGGAGCAAGGAAGGCGGAGCAAGGAAGGCGGAGCAAGGAAGGCGGAGCAAGGAAGGCGGAGCAAGGAAGGCGGAGCAAGGAAGGCGGAGCAAGGAAGGCGGAGCAAGGAAGGCGGAGCAAGGAAGGCGGAGCAAGGAAGGCGGAGCAAGGAAGGCGGAGCAAGGAAGGCGGAGCAAGGAAGGCGGAGCAAGGAAGGCGGAGCAAGGAAGGCGGAGCAAGGAAGGCGGAGCAAGGAAGGCGGAGCAAGGAAGGCGGAGCAAGGAAGGCGGAGCAAGGAAGGCGGAGCAAGGAAGGCGGAGCAAGGAAGGCGGAGCAAGGAAGGCGGAGCAAGGAAGGCGGAGCAAGGAAGGCGGAGCAAGGAAGGCGGAGCAAGGAAGGCGGAGCAAGGAAGGCGGAGCAAGGAAGGCGGAGCAAGGAAGGCGGAGCAAGGAAGGCGGAGCAAGGAAGGCGGAGCAAGGAAGGCGGAGCAAGGAAGGCGGAGCAAGGAAGGCGGAGCAAGGAAGGCGGAGCAAGGAAGGCGGAGCAAGGAAGGCGGAGCAAGGAAGGCGGAGCAAGGAAGGCGGAGCAAGGAAGGCGGAGCAAGGAAGGCGGAGCAAGGAAGGCGGAGCAAGGAAGGCGGAGCAAGGAAGGCGGAGCAAGGAAGGCGGAGCAAGGAAGGCGGAGCAAGGAAGGCGGAGCAAGGAAGGCGGAGCAAGGAAGGCGGAGCAAGGAAGGCGGAGCAAGGAAGGCGGAGCAAGGAAGGCGGAGCAAGGAAGGCGGAGCAAGGAAGGCGGAGCAAGGAAGGCGGAGCAAGGAAGGCGGAGCAAGGAAGGCGGAGCAAGGAAGGCGGAGCAAGGAAGGCGGAGCAAGGAAGGCGGAGCAAGGAAGGCGGAGCAAGGAAGGCGGAGCAAGGAAGGCGGAGCAAGGAAGGCGGAGCAAGGAAGGCGGAGCAAGGAAGGCGGAGCAAGGAAGGCGGAGCAAGGAAGGCGGAGCAAGGAAGGCGGAGCAAGGAAGGCGGAGCAAGGAAGGCGGAGCAAGGAAGGCGGAGCAAGGAAGGCGGAGCAAGGAAGGCGGAGCAAGGAAGGCGGAGCAAGGAAGGCGGAGCAAGGAAGGCGGAGCAAGGAAGGCGGAGCAAGGAAGGCGGAGCAAGGAAGGCGGAGCAAGGAAGGCGGAGCAAGGAAGGCGGAGCAAGGAAGGCGGAGCAAGGAAGGCGGAGCAAGGAAGGCGGAGCAAGGAAGGCGGAGCAAGGAAGGCGGAGCAAGGAAGGCGGAGCAAGGAAGGCGGAGCAAGGAAGGCGGAGCAAGGAAGGCGGAGCAAGGAAGGCGGAGCAAGGAAGGCGGAGCAAGGAAGGCGGAACAAGAAGGCGGAGCAAGGAAGGCGGAGCAAGGAAGGCGGAGCAAGGAAGGCGGAGCAAGGAAGGCGGAGCAAGGAAGGCGGAGCAAGGAAGGCGGAGCAAGGAAGGCGGAGCAAGGAAGGCGGAGCAAGGAAGGCGGAGCAAGGAAGGCGGAGCAAGGAAGGCGGAGCAAGGAAGGCGGAGCAAGGAAGGCGGAGCAAGGAAGGCGGAGCAAGGAAGGCGGAGCAAGGAAGGCGGAGCAAGGAAGGCGGAGCAAGGAAGGCGGAGCAAGGAAGGCGGAGCAAGGAAGGCGGAGCAAGGAAGGCGGAGCAAGGAAGGCGGAGCAAGGAAGGCGGAGCAAGGAAGGCGGAGCAAGGAAGGCGGAGCAAGGAAGGCGGAGCAAGGAAGGCGGAGCAAGGAAGGCGGAGCAAGGAAGGCGGAGCAAGGAAGGCGGAGCAAGGAAGGCGGAGCAAGGAAGGCGGAGCAAGGAAGGCGGAGCAAGGAAGGCGGAGCAAGGAAGGCGGAGCAAGGAAGGCGGAGCAAGGAAGGCGGAGCAAGGAAGGCGGAGCAAGGAAGGCGGAGCAAGGAAGGCGGAGCAAGGAAGGCGGAGCAAGGAAGGCGGAGCAAGGAAGGCGGAGCAAGGAAGGCGGAGCAAGGAAGGCGGAGCAAGGAAGGCGGAGCAAGGAAGGCGGAGCAAGGAAGGCGGAGCAAGGAAGGCGGAGCAAGGAAGGCGGAGCAAGGAAGGCGGAGCAAGGAAGGCGGAGCAAGGAAGGCGGAGCAAGGAAGGCGGAGCAAGGAAGGCGGAGCAAGGAAGGCGGAGCAAGGAAGGCGGAGCAAGGAAGGCGGAGCAAGGAAGGCGGAGCAAGGAAGGCGGAGCAAGGAAGGCGGAGCAAGGAAGGCGGAGCAAGGAAGGCGGAGCAAGGAAGGCGGAGCAAGGAAGGCGGAGCAAGGAAGGCGGAGCAAGGAAGGCGGAGCAAGGAAGGCGGAGCAAGGAAGGCGGAGCAAGGAAGGCGGAGCAAGGAAGGCGGAGCAAGGAAGGCGGAGCAAGGAAGGCGGAGCAAGGAAGGCGGAGCAAGGAAGGCGGAGCAAGGAAGGCGGAGCAAGGAAGGCGGAGCAAGGAAGGCGGAGCAAGGAAGGCGGAGCAAGGAAGGCGGAGCAAGGAAGGCGGAGCAAGGAAGGCGGAGCAAGGAAGGCGGAGCAAGGAAGGCGGAGCAAGGAAGGCGGAGCAAGGAAGGCGGAGCAAGGAAGGCGGAGCAAGGAAGGCGGAGCAAGGAAGGCGGAGCAAGGAAGGCGGAGCAAGGAAGGCGGAGCAAGGAAGGCGGAGCAAGGAAGGCGGAGCAAGGAAGGCGGAGCAAGGAAGGCGGAGCAAGGAAGGCGGAGCAAGGAAGGCGGAGCAAGGAAGGCGGAGCAAGGAAGGCGGAGCAAGGAAGGCGGAGCAAGGAAGGCGGAGCAAGGAAGGCGGAGCAAGGAAGGCGGAGCAAGGAAGGCGGAGCAAGGAAGGCGGAGCAAGGAAGGCGGAGCAAGGAAGGCGGAGCAAGGAAGGCGGAGCAAGGAAGGCGGAGCAAGGAAGGCGGAGCAAGGAAGGCGGAGCAAGGAAGGCGGAGCAAGGAAGGCGGAGCAAGGAAGGCGGAGCAAGGAAGGCGGAGCAAGGAAGGCGGAGCAAGGAAGGCGGAGCAAGGAAGGCGGAGCAAGGAAGGCGGAGCAAGGAAGGCGGAGCAAGGAAGGCGGAGCAAGGAAGGCGGAGCAAGGAAGGCGGAGCAAGGAAGGCGGAGCAAGGAAGGCGGAGCAAGGAAGGCGGAGCAAGGAAGGCGGAGCAAGGAAGGCGGAGCAAGGAAGGCGGAGCAAGGAAGGCGGAGCAAGGAAGGCGGAGCAAGGAAGGCGGAGCAAGGAAGGCGGAGCAAGGAAGGCGGAGCAAGGAAGGCGGAGCAAGGAAGGCGGAGCAAGGAAGGCGGAGCAAGGAAGGCGGAGCAAGGAAGGCGGAGCAAGGAAGGCGGAGCAAGGAAGGCGGAGCAAGGAAGGCGGAGCAAGGAAGGCGGAGCAAGGAAGGCGGAGCAAGGAAGGCGGAGCAAGGAAGGCGGAGCAAGGAAGGCGGAGCAAGGAAGGCGGAGCAAGGAAGGCGGAGCAAGGAAGGCGGAGCAAGGAAGGCGGAGCAAGGAAGGCGGAGCAAGGAAGGCGGAGCAAGGAAGGCGGAGCAAGGAAGGCGGAGCAAGGAAGGCGGAGCAAGGAAGGCGGAGCAAGGAAGGCGGAGCAAGGAAGGCGGAGCAAGGAAGGCGGAGCAAGGAAGGCGGAGCAAGGAAGGCGGAGCAAGGAAGGCGGAGCAAGGAAGGCGGAGCAAGGAAGGCGGAGCAAGGAAGGCGGAGCAAGGAAGGCGGAGCAAGGAAGGCGGAGCAAGGAAGGCGGAGCAAGGAAGGCGGAGCAAGGAAGGCGGAGCAAGGAAGGCGGAGCAAGGAAGGCGGAGCAAGGAAGGCGGAGCAAGGAAGGCGGAGCAAGGAAGGCGGAGCAAGGAAGGCGGAGCAAGGAAGGCGGAGCAAGGAAGGCGGAGCAAGGAAGGCGGAGCAAGGAAGGCGGAACAAGAAGGCGGAGCAAGGAAGGCGGAGCAAGGAAGGCGGAGCAAGGAAGGCGGAGCAAGGAAGGCGGAGCAAGGAAGGCGGAGCAAGGAAGGCGGAGCAAGGAAGGCGGAGCAAGGAAGGCGGAGCAAGGAAGGCGGAGCAAGGAAGGCGGAGCAAGGAAGGCGGAGCAAGGAAGGCGGAGCAAGGAAGGCGGAGCAAGGAAGGCGGAGCAAGGAAGGCGGAGCAAGGAAGGCGGAGCAAGGAAGGCGGAGCAAGGAAGGCGGAGCAAGGAAGGCGGAGCAAGGAAGGCGGAGCAAGGAAGGCGGAGCAAGGAAGGCGGAGCAAGGAAGGCGGAGCAAGGAAGGCGGAGCAAGGAAGGCGGAGCAAGGAAGGCGGAGCAAGGAAGGCGGAGCAAGGAAGGCGGAGCAAGGAAGGCGGAGCAAGGAAGGCGGAGCAAGGAAGGCGGAGCAAGGAAGGCGGAGCAAGGAAGGCGGAGCAAGGAAGGCGGAGCAAGGAAGGCGGAGCAAGGAAGGCGGAGCAAGGAAGGCGGAGCAAGGAAGGCGGAGCAAGGAAGGCGGAGCAAGGAAGGCGGAGCAAGGAAGGCGGAGCAAGGAAGGCGGAGCAAGGAAGGCGGAGCAAGGAAGGC